TTTTTTATTTTTTCCCCTTCTTCAGGGATGACCACAGCGAGCAAACTTGGATGAGGATTTGGCGACTGTTTTTACGCCGGATGTCCTTCATGACTCAACCACAGACCACCAAGCTACCACAGCCCTCTGTGTGGAGCCATCTAGGGTGCAGATGGTGGTGCTCAAGGGCCCAGAGTGGGGCAAATGAGGGTGGAGGCACATGTGGATCCTTCACCTTTCCCATCCTACTTTTTTTGCGAACACTATTAAAATAAACTGATAAAATATAAAAATGCTAATAAACGCCATTAGAAAAGACAGACAAATAAGATATACATGTAAACATATGAATACGTTTCTGAAGCGTAATGAAACCATCAAACTGCTGTTTACAGTAATTTGCATTTATATCCAGCAGAGGGCGCTCTAAAAACCTCCATCCAACTTGACCCTGCCCTTAACTTAGAGAAGTGTCATGCTGTAAGACACAACTTGGTACAAAAATGACTTTTAAAACATTTGAATGGCTTATAAAAAGTAAGCCATATTTGAAATAAAAAGTCACATTTTAACATGCTGTTCATCATTTAGTTGTTTTTTTCTTTTGTCAGATTGTATGTAGTTTCAAAATCAGTCCTGCTTCCAACAGACAGAAATGGGTACATATGAAATAACTAATGTGTCTAAAAGAAGCCACCTCACTAAGTTAGGCAAGTTTTCTTTGACTTCAGTTGTTACGAAAGTAAAAGCACAAAAACAAAGTCGAGTTCTAGATAACGATATAAAATAAAATCCACTCTGTAGCCAAAACCAGACTTTAAAGTAGCGCAGTCTAGATCTAAGACTGTTTACTCAAAATGTTGCACACAATGTTAAGAGAAAAGTGACTTTGTTGAACTGTGTATTGCTGCAGGGCAGTTTTGTGCTAAGTGCACAGAAAAAAGACTGAATCTCTCTCCTGGCTCGTGCACTTATGACCCACTTTTGCCCGTGACCATGTTGTCCAAAACCTGGCAGACTCATGCATGCCATCAGCCGAGCTATTAAACTGCCTGAGAATCCATGCCAGCCAGGCTTTTTATTATCTGCACTGAACCCTCACAAACTGATTTTTCCTCCTGATGCACAAGCCTTTCCTTTTTTAATTTTATTTTTAAGGATAGCACACAGAATTGCACCCAGACCTTCTCAGCAGTTTCCTACACCTGCCAGGGACTATATTTTTCTCAGTTTCAAATTAAATTGTTGGAATCAGCCTCATGTATATTCATCTCTTCCTTATTCATAATTGATGCTCTGAGCCTTTCAACAGAACCGAGGCAGGACGTACGGAGATCATTCTGAGAATAATTTTCCACCTGCTGAGTTTTAAACCAAATATTCTGCTTTTCTGCTCCCAAAACTGAATCTGTTACTATAAGCTGACACACTGTAGGGGAGTGTGGATGAAACAGGATGGTCTAGTTGGAATCATAGCCTTGTGACTTATTGCAAATTTTAAAAGTGAGGCACTTCCTCTGCACTTTGGTAAAAAAAAGGACAGCTTTGTGGATTCAACTGATAGTCCTATCAAAGGATAATGCTTCCCAAAATCACCTAAATGTTAATCCTTGGACTGCTGATGTAATCTGTTGCATTTCTGTCCCCATTTTCCAATCTGGTTGGAGGGATTTGATCTGCTCCGTTGTACTGTTCAGCCCCTGCCCTTCAACTTTACTTCTCCATCATGCAAAGGGTCAAAGCAGGTGAACGTTCTTGGTAATCGCAAAAACAAAAGAACGTACGTGTTATTGAATTTGTCTACAAATTGTATTGTTATCTAAAGAATGAGTAACCTTAAAGGGGTTTCATCAAAGTTCATGCTCAACAATCCAGGTAAAAAATGCAGCAAAGTTAAGTCAGGTCCTCTGGATGGTTTCTTTGTGTTGAAACGTTTCGTCTTTTAACCGAAAGACTTCATCAGTCCATGGAGCCACGACAAACTCAGTCTTATAAATAGCACCTTACTGGGTCACCCATGATGGGGCTAAAATGGTTTCTGGAGTCCACCCTCTCCCCCACCGACTCATGGTTCAAAACATTTTAACTTAACTTAAAGGGATTGTTCAGATTTGTGTGGTATGAAAAGGCTACGACCAATGATCATCTTCCCTGTTAGATAGCTCTTCAAACAACTTCATCTTGGAGAAGTAGAGTTTAATTCTGTTTGGATCAACAAGCTAACAGCTCGTCTGTACAGGTGGATTTCCCTTGTGGTGAAACAATTAAAAAAAACTAAAAAAATAATCAAAACTACAGTAGCCCTCGCTACTTCCCAGTTCATTTTCGTGGACTCGCTCTGTCGCGGTTTTTCAAAATAAGAGTGGACGTGACACACAACTGGCTGAGTGATGGATGAGCTGCACGATCAGCATGGAATTTTTTATTTAAAATGAATTATTTTAAAGTATTTAGCACTTGCTGCACATTTGTGCAGCCCATACTGCAGGAGAAACTTCCTGCTGCAGCTCCTCCTCCCCCCACTGTTGATCTCTGCTCTACAGAGAAGAAGTGGGCGTGGCCAAGAGCACAGAGCAGATGAAATCATGACATTCTGTGATATTTTAGAGCGTCTAGAGTTTAGAAACATTGTTTAAAATATTGCAAGAGTGTGGGAAGGGTTGAAAATGCCTTTAAATATATATATATATATATATATATATATATATATATATATATATATATATATATATATATATATATAAACTACTACTTACTACTTGTAGTACTATTCCTACTTCATGGTTTTTCACTTATTGCTGGGGTATTTCTCCAAGCTGCTGTTCAAAGAGTTATCTATGACAGGTAAACTATTCATTGTTCACAACCTTTCCTCATAGCTCCACATTTGAACGTCTGCCCTTTTGCTTTACATCAAAACAAACACATTTACTAAGCAACAGTAAAATAAATTGCTACTTCTACTGCAATAAAACAAGACAAATTTTCTGGTATACCAATGAAAAACAAACAAGTTACTTGACAACTAGAAAACAAGACGTTACTTATGCTTGATGTTAAATTTAAGCTCTAACATTTGACAGTTTTCTGACAGTTCAGATAGTAGCACAGGTTTGTTGTACGCAGTAATCTGTCCCAATCAGCTGTTCATTCCCAAACAGAAACACGCACATTCTTTGACAATGAACATCCCATGATATATTTAGACCTGTGACAACTGTACAGCACATCTGCCTCTCCCTTCACTCCCACAGACACACCAGGATCACCATAGAAAACACACACACACACACATTCCTCTCACCATGCTCGTCTCACAGATCCAGGCATGGAGCAAAGACTCTCACCTTCATAATCAGTCAGAAGACGGGGGAACACGGAGTCTTACCAGAGAGAGCCCCTTTCTCCAGGAGACACCAGAGAGTATGGAGGGGGGAGACAAATGTGTCTGCGAGGAGAAAACCCAGCGAGAATTGTTCCCCCCTTTGCTCCACCAGCAAATCAATTTCACACTCTCTCACCTCCCCGCCACTCTGATGTCATTCACTCTCGTGCCCGTAGCCATGGAAACGCCACCGCTTACAACTAACTGTACATTCTTATACATCTGTCTTACCTCTCTTCCTACCACCCCCTTCTTTGCTCCAAAGCCTGATGAGACCAGTCCACTTATATGAAGGGTGCAGTTAACACCCCCAGCCTCACAGACACCCACCCCCTCTCCCTCTTACCTGCTATCTCAGCACAGAGCTCCTGGAGACAAAAAAAAAAAAAGACAAGTGAGAGGCGCCTGGATTCACCTCATGTAGCCTTCGTGTCCTGATGAAGACGTGGTCGTCCAGTTTGTTCCTCATGGCAACAACACAAACCAGTAAAACAAGAGAGGAGAAAAAAAGCACCTGAAGAAGTTGCCATTGCCTTATCTGTTCTTTTTGCAGAAATAAAAGCCCCACATAAACACAACACTTGATGCTGAGGCACAGATGTTTTTTGTTTGTCAGACACCCCCCCCCACCCACCACCACCACCCACACACACACATAGTGTTGAGTGAGGTGATGAATAATTCATGACAACCACCATCATTACCACAGAGCTTCAATGCTGATATGTCTGTCCTGACCTTGGAGGAGTGGGAAGAAAATCTGACCATCATCACATTTTTATTCAATTACAAACTGTGTTATCCATCAGGCTGGGCTCTCTTTAATAAAGGTCTATTTTACTTTTTCTGTCCACAGGCTTCATCACCGATTCACTTGATCCATACCTGCACACCATCTTGCATCCACCTTTGGGTTTTTTTTGCATTTACTTTTATCCAACATTCATCAGTCATCCACCTGCAGGACTCAGAGACTACATTTCAATCTAAAATAGTTAATGTTGCAAAACTATAAATGTAAAATGAATATTAGATCAAACGTCCACTTCTTAGCCATTGAGGTAACAATAGTCAATATTTTTTTATAATTGCTGAGAAAACATGATCTGTCATTTTAATTTTAATTAGTTTAATTTACTTTCTTCCAGGAAAATACCTCCATCTAACTCCATGAGTCTCAATCTGTCATTCCTAATCTGTCGGCTTGTTCTGAAATCACGTAGGTTATAAAAAATGTTGTTAATTTATAAAATAAAGAACTTGGTTAATAAGCAAACTGCAACCGTTTCTTGCAAATAGGACTACTATTTATGTGACGTAAAACATGTTATAGCTCCCATTGGTAATTTTTGCACATTACAATATATTATTGTTTTTCTTTAGGCAGCTGCCATCGATTATTGGGTTTCACTGAAACCAACTATTTCATCTAACAGCTTACTAACGTACAGAGTAAACAGTTTTTGAGTAAGATTTTAACAATCTTAATCTAAACTGGTGATTTCATGTGATCTGTTAACATTTATTGCTTTTTATTTCAGTTAATTCCACACCAAATTTAGTTCAGTATCTGTAAAATTGACTGAGTTACTGTGTAGCCATTTTTGTCTTTGCTACGTTTGATTAGCTGTGGTGGCCATCTTGAATTAAATAGATGGCACAAAATCATCACTATGTCCAATGATTGCTTTCTGATACCTTTAATAAAGTGCATTAACTGGTTCATTAGCTATTTTTGCAAAAATAGAAAGGAAAAAGAAAACACTTTTTGCAAAAAAACAAGTGCACAACCCCCCCCCCCCCCCCCCCCCCCACACACACACACACACACACACACACACGCAGGTAAAATCATTATTGTCCACCTTTTACCTCTCGGCAATGGGAGATAATTTCGTGGCAATCAGCGCTGTAATAATTCCTAAACCCATCTCAAGCAGCTTTTATGCAACTGGTGACTGGAGCCCGTCACTCATGATGTGGATTAAAAATTATTTCATGCACTTTCTGCTGAATAAATGCAGACCATGTAGAAAAATAGCAACTACATTACTGTAACAAAGTCCATGCTCAATAATCATGTATACAATCCAACAATTTTCAGTCAGGTCATCTGGACAGTTTCTTTTTTTGTGCTGAAACGGTTCACCTTCCATCCAGAAGGCTTCATCAGTCATGGAAACACACAAGACAAAACATATTCTTCCCCCAACAGCTTACTCCAAAGTGGAACAAACCAGTTATGTTGATGCTAAGATGGTCTCTTTGGCACGCCCCCTCCTTCAGTGCCGGCCCTTTCCCTCGTCGACAGTTATGACAAACTGGTTGAAAACAACAAAGTCCATGCTCAATAATCCAGGTATACAATCCAACATTTTTCAGTCAAGTCATCTGAACAGTTTCTGTATTGATAGAATATGTGTATGTATGTGTAATCTTGTAATTTCTGAACCAATCCAGACATTAAATATCTGACTGTAGGATACCACCACTTCCTCTTTCCCTTCCAATTCCCTCCAGTTTACAGCTTACGAGTCAGCCTTGACTTGAAACTATTTCTTGGTTTAGAACTCATCAGCCCTCAGGAATGACAGACACACGTAGGAAGTTCTTTATCACCATTTTCTCTGAAACTTATTTTTTTTTGTCACCACTCACATCATCCTTCACTACAAATCCTCTTTCCTTTCCTCCACCATGTTCTACCATTTCCAAGCTGAGCTTTAGGTTTAAACTTAAAACATAAAAAAAAATTAAAAAAATTTAAAAAAAGACTCACCCTCCCCTTTTGACAACCATCTACCAGAGATAAGTAGGATATTAGAGAGGAAAATATCACATCGTTGACTGAGGGGGGTATCAGTTCCCATTAAGTACTACTGCCATTTGATTGAGGTTAAATTAAAGAGACGATGTTTGAAATCAGCCACGCAGACATCAGAGTTCAATGTTATCTTTCATCTCTGCATCAACTTCTCCCAAAGCTTCTCAACAACATCAAAGCTGAAGTTTTTAAAGGGAATGCTTAACCATTCTCGTTCAGTCATTTCCATATTGCGCTGTATGGACTCTTGCTCAGCACTCTAATGCATGCTGTCTAGCTACAGGCACATGAACCTGGTAGGTGGACATGGGGGAAGGGAGTGACTGTTCTTGTGTGTTGGACACTTAATGGTGCAGGAGCAGTGGAGCAGGTACGTTTTATGCACCTGCTGCAGATACATCCCAGCAAAGAAAGATGAACTCAGTGCATCAGTAGCTGCTCTCATCCTTTTTTGTCTCTTTTTCCATTTACCCTCTTTATGCTTGCTGGGAAATACAGCACTGCACCATCATCGTCATGCCCCGAAATCTACTCCTACACACTGAAACACAAATCACATGTAAAGGGATAGTTAGGCCATTTTGAAGGGAGGTTATGTAAAGGCCCCCACATACTTGGGCGTACTGTGTGTACTCAGTGAGCCGCGCAGACTCCGCGCGTACTGTCCGCAGACGGTTGAGACTTCATACTCGAGCGTACAGATTCTGACCCCTCCCTTTGTCCTATTCCTACTTTTTCCTCTCATCTTCTTTCTTGCCTTAACAAATCTGTCCCTGGGGTGCTTCCATTTAACTTGACGAAGTGCCCCATCCTTACCCAAGGTCTGAGCTATTTCCTTCCACAAACTTCTTGCTTTCCTTAAAAGTCCTTATATTCTCTCATTGACGTATCATATAGATTTCTATGTTTTTTATAATCTCCTCTGGGAGACGATCTTCAAAAAAAAACTACGGACAAGTGCTGCAAATTAGCTCACTCTATAGGCACCATGATACATGCATGGGACTGCTGTTTTATTCAGTTTGCCTTTGTTATTGTGTGTCAGTCCCTATCAAATAAACTTAAATAAATAAATTGACTCCAGTTTCATCCACAAGATGGCGCCGATTTTCAACCGTTATCAGAGCGGTTGATGTCGCCAGTTTGACGTGAACACCTTTTCTCGCAGGGGCAGTTTATTGTGCGACACAGAGTGCGTGTACGTGGTTGTAAAAATGGATCCTTGTGCGGACATGGCCGGTGGACGTCTGCTTCGAGTCCGTGTTGAGTCTGCTTCGAGTATGCGCGGACCTCCACGGAGTGAAGTACGCCCGAGTATGCCTTTAGAAGGTTAGGAACAATTATAACCTTATTTGTTGTAAATTGCCATTTGAATTACTTCTTTTAGGAGAAACAGAATTTAATTGGGATCACATTTGTGCGCAAAAACCCATAATCATCTAGGATCAACTTGAATTTCTCCTTTTATAATCCGTCGATCCATTATCTTCTTTACCCTCTACATCCTTTTCTGATTGCAAGGGGTCACTGATGACCATATTCAGCAATCACTGTGCGAGAAGTGGGGGACATCCTGGACAGGTCTCCAGTCCATCACAGGGACACATAGAGATAAATAAGACAAACAACCATTCACTCTCTCACTCACACAGAGACACTTTAGAGTTACCAATCAGCCTAACATGCATGTTTTTGGTCTGTGGGAGGAAACTGGAGTACCGGAGAAAACCTATGCATGCACAGAGAGAACATGCAAATTCCACCCAGAAAAGCCCTTGGCTGGAATTTGGTCTGATGGCCTTCTCACTAAGAGGTGGCAACTCTACCAACTGAGCCACTGTGCTGCCCCCACTTACAATCTTAAAAGTATTTGAGTTTCATGTAGGAAGAAGCGAGTCAAAGATAACAGATGGATTGATGGTTTGTTTTACAGCAGATTTGTACTGCATCGTTGTACTGGCAGAAGCCTTTTATTTTGCTTTACAGAAGTGTGCCATGCTCATGGAAAAAAAATAAAAATAGGTAAAAAGACTTATTGTGAAAGACCAAAAAGTCTGAATTACATGTTCTGCTATTTTGTGTTTTTGGAGCCAAACTCTGTGCAGGATGTGGAGCCCATCGATCGATGTAAACATGTTACACCAAAATTGTGTGAGTTGTGTAAACTCAATGCTAAAGTCCCATCTACACACTCTCCCAGCTCACTAACAGGACACTTTTTA